TGGTGGGGAGCAAGATGTTAAGAAGCAAATTTTTTTTAGAGATAATGGATAAGCTTTATGGTTAAAGGGATTCTAGAAAGGTACATAACACTGCATTTTTATACTTGTATTTAGAAGTAAACATAGAAAATTAGAAACAATATGTAACCTAAAATGTGATAAAATATTTAACATAAATTAGTGAAATTTTTGGTTAAGAAAAGGGAGTACTGTAATGAAACATGATTCAAGATTGTGATGTGGGGGGGGGGGGGTAATAATCTTTGAAAAGCATAAGTGTTCCCACAAAGGCATGATATTTAATTGAAATGGATAAAATGTTTAAGATATAAATGATTGTTAATATTAATGATTAGAATATGGTATACTAGCGAAATTTCTTGTGAAATGAGAATTGAAGTAGAAGAAGGAGGTACTTTTTAATGAAATAATGAGCTATAATATATGATGAGGGATATAATATATAACTATGGAAAATAGGGCTCCCATAAAAGTATGTGATTTAATTGAAAAGTAATGAGTTAAATGTTTAAGATATGAATGAATATTAATACTAATGAATAGATTTGTATTATTTTTGATAATATAGTATAATTTTAGAATGTACCAGACAGAATCCCAATATATGTCATGTGTTTTATATTAAGTATTATAAATGTAGGGGAAAGAGATAAAGGCATCATACTCCATATAGTGTATAGGAGAAGTTTTTTCTTTTTTTTAAAGAAGGAAAATAAAGAATAGAACAGACAAAGAATAATAAATATTATGATATGAATTGAGAGGAGATAAATAAAATAAAATAAAATTGAGAAAATTTAAAGGAGAGGAGAAGACATATAGAAAACTGAAAATGTTAATAAGATATGAAATGGTATGTAAAATGAATATGAATTTGAATTTGTGTCTGTACCAAGAGTTTTAACCCGGGACTAAGCAACTTTCAGATAAGAGATTTTTTATGCTTATATGTTTTGTTTTATGTGTATCTATGTATTGTTTGTCTTGAAAATAAAACTTGTTTTAAATAAATAACAAATAAAAGTCCAGCGGAGTTACTAATGAGGAGGAAACTTAGATCACACCTAAACAGACTGCACCCTACATATAGCCCAGAAAAACCAGCAGACTCCTCCAGTAATTGCCGCACATTTCAAACAGGGGACCCAGTATACACAAAAAATCTTACAGGGGAACCATTGTGGATACCAGCAAAAGTGATCCAGATAACTGGGCCCCGTTCATACAGGGTAGACACCCAGGATGGGAGGAGCTGGAGGAGGCACATAGACCAGCTCAGATCTAGAGCCACGAAGGGAGACCCAAACAGACCCATGGAAGAGGGGGGAGACCCCTCAAACAAACAAACCCAGGGAAGAAGGGGGAGACCCCTCAAAAATGACCATAGAGGAGGGAGGAGACCTCTCCAGCAAACAAAATACAACCAGAGAAGAGGGGGGAGACCCCTCAAACAGACAAAACACAAATAGAAAGGGAGGGGAAGACCCTCTATGAACAAGAGAAATAACAGAACAAACCCTGATAACTATGCAACAATCACTACTAACACTAGCCCTGGTCGGGAAATGCAAACACGTACCTGAGACCAGGGAAGAAGGCAGGTCGGGGAAACAGGAACAGGTCCAGAAGGATAGCGGGAAAGCAGTCCCTGGCGGGAGCAGCTGAGCTGACTCAACCAGCCAGGAGGTTCCAAGAAGACGGGCGGGAGGAACAACAGACCCGTCCGAACAGTCCAGAGGCCAAACCGTGACTGAGTTGCACAGGTCCAGTAGAAATCATAAAAGCCCTGCCTATGTACGTGACTACGTACAGTAAGCGAGGTTCAGATTGGTTGGACCGGACCAGGTGGGGAGGGGTATTATGTATTAACATACTTACCTGCAATTGGTTGGTCCATGGCGGCGGGAGATTTGAAGAGCCATCACTGGACACAGCCACGAGCAGCCCAACTATAAAAACGGCTGCCGCGGTTTGTTCAGTGCTCAGTCCTAGACAGAAGTAAAACAATTGACAATCATGTTGATGTCCTGAGTCTCATTCCCGCGACTTAACACTTTCTTGAGCCGATGAATTGCTGAAACCAAATAATGTTTTCATGAACTGCTGGAAACCACTGAATACAGGCTTTTATTTAAACAAAATTACATCTTCAATAGACAGTCCATTTATATGAGTTATCCACAACTCAGTTGTTCTTAACTGGGGACTGCCTGTAACAGACCTAATTAAAATGTGGTTGTCTTGTGTCGTGAACTGATACTGGCTCCTGGTCTGTTAGGAATGGAGGCGCACAGCTGGAGGTGAGTGGTGGGTGACCAAGCAAAAGTTAATCTGTGGGTGAGTAGGATCTGGATTGCATGTGAAACCATCCACATCCACTCACCCCCTCCGTGGAAAAATTGTCTCCCACGAAACTGATCTGTGGTGCCAAAAAGGTTGGGAATCACTGGCCTAGTGTATACCTCAATGTGAATTTATCTTATATAGGATTTATGAACTATGTGTGAATTCAGCCAAACTACAATATCATTAAATAAATAATACATCTTATATAGTGTGACTGTAGAAATGATAAAGTTTTATTTATTGCAAGAAGACGACGGAAACTATAGATTTTGTGCAAGGGTGAAGCAGTGGAATTCTATAAACTATATTAATAAACTTTAAATTTTATCATTCATTTAATCAATTAATACATAATTCATATACTTTTCTAATTTGTACTTCATATTGGTGTGGAGGGGCTAACAAATTATTCTCCAGCACACAGCATTTTCTGTGAGAATGCCTGAATTGAAAAATATATTTAAACTGCCTTTTATGAATACTTGCTAAGTAAGAAGGGGGGCATATTTAGAAAGGAATGTTAAATGTGTATCTGTGGAGTAATCTATTTCTTTAAAATTGAGTAAGAACACAATAGCATTAGGGAAAACAAGAACCTACTTCCAAATCCGACAGTGTTTGTTGGCACACTTTATTTTGCACTATTTTTAATGTGAAACAAACTTTGTAACACATTTGTGAGTTCACATTTTTTTTCTAAGTCAATATGATTAACTATGTTTTGTTGAATATGTCAGAATTAGCTAGGTTTATATACTAAACTAAAATAGAATCAAACTGCCTGAGCTCACACATCATGCTAATCTATAATGTAATTTGCTTGTTTGTGGTCTAGCATGATACACAGTTGTAAATCAATGTTTGCGGCTTTGAACTCAACCATTTGGGATTATCGTACATACAATGTTTTTTAGCATGACGCATAAATCCCAACCCCACCTTAAAGAATTGGGTCATGTGCAACAACAAAATGTTTTCGATTAGTGCTAGCAAAAGGGCTACTGGTTCTAGCAAAGAGTCAGTCAGTCTTTTTTTAAACATATTTTATTGAATAAACTATAATTTGGCTGGGTTTACACAATACATTAAACCATAAATAAATCAATTATTAGTTCAGCATATTGGGATGAATCCAGCCTTTGTGTTGCAAGCAGCATTATTTAAATATGCAGCAAATACATTTTTGATAACCAGTTTAAAGTAGTGTTCATTTTGGACAGCCAGTTTAATGCAATACTTAAAGCATTAGGCTACAATTGAACAGGATGAGTTCGAATAACCTCTTACGCACAAAGCCAGTCATTGTCTATCAGCCCTAGAAAGAAAGCAATGACACACCACTTGTGAAATGTTGGCAAGGAAACTGCAAGTTTGAACCAGACAATTGCTAGGTGTCAAGATCAATTTGGAGGCAACCTCCTGCCCAAAAAATCTTTATTTAAGAAAGAGGGAGAATTTGAAGCATTAGATTTGTGTGCCTCTCTCTATTTTGCAAGGCTCTGTTCCATCTGAGCTAGGTACAATCACAACGGGTCAATACTCAGTTGATATTTTGCCAAATGTCAGGACAGTGATCAAATGCCCAGGCAACTGATTCTTTTGGATCTAGAGACAATGACGACTCCAGTAAATAGATTTTAAGCTTTATTACTAGCTCAAGCAAGAGTTAAAAACAAAAAATATTAAAAGTGTACATGCCCACCTACAGGATATCAGGAGTTCCTCAATAACAACAGATGTACCTCAAGGTGGCCAAATTTTCAACAATACCCAAGGCTAGGTTCAGTAGCAGATAACTCTCCACAAATAACAACAACCCTGTGCAGTTTTTATCAAATCTTGATAGCCCTGATATAGTCAAGAGTGCAAGACCTGAGCTTGACTGGCAGGCACGTGACCAGTGTGAGCCTTTCACAACAACACAACAGAAGCTTTGAAACTACAAGGCGATTCTGGCCAGCCCCCTTCAATAAACAAGAATGAAAAACAGGTGGATTAGAATAAACTCTAAATTTCCAGACTCTCCTTAATATGAAGGTAAAATCAAAACATGTTACTAAGCTCGAAAAAACAGCGCATTGCCACTATAGATGGAAGAAACATCAGGGCTGGGGACTAAAATGGGAAGTCAAGAAATCCAGAAAGCATCCCCGAGGCAGGCAAGAGTCGATTACTTCCCTACGCAAAGTGTCGTTGCTGGGAAACAACAGGTCCCTGTAATCCTCTGGGTTGAACTCAGGGAGACTTTATTCTAAATATTCTAAATGCATAAACCGAGCCTTTTTACTCACATTGGTCAGAAAGCAAACCCAAAGGAAGGCAGTGGGACCTAATGGGGGCCGCTCTCTATTAAGGCAGGGAAAACTATTGTGGGTTAGATGCAGCCACCCCGAGCTCCACCTCGCCCAGCACTTCGGAAAAGGAAAAGGGCACCAAGAGGAGAAAGAAGGAATGGGCCAGAACGCGTGCAAGAGGAACTCTCCGCCGAGCCGGCGTTCGGCGCTGCGGCCAATGAGGCGAAGGAGAGGGGAGAGGGAGGCGGGCCCAGGGTAGATGGGCGGCCTCCGCCTTTAGGGGAGAACGCGGGCCGGGCGGGCGGGGCGCAGAGAAGCGCTTCGGGGTTGGGGAGCACTTCAGGGCTTCCCTTTGGCTCGCGGGTGCACGCGCGGCTCCCGAGACAGGCAGGCAGCTTCTCTTCCCGTGCCTTTCCCGGCTGCAAGCCTTCTCTTCCCTGTCACTCCCTCCCTCCCTCTCCTCCTCCTCCTCCTGCTGCTCTCCGGTCGTCCCTCCTGGCAGCCCTTTGCTGTCCTCTTCTCTTTCCTCCCTCCATCCCAGGTCTTTTAATCTCCTTTCCCCGACATTCCCCCCACCCTCTTACTTCTCTCCCCCGAGAGAGACTCCGCTCCTACCGCCTTTCCTTTCCTCCCCCGCCCCTCATTGTCTTCTGCAGCCTATTGCCCAATTTCCAAAGCTGGGGGAAACTCGCTATGGGCGAGGACGAGGCAGTCCCGGCGGCTCTCCTTTCCAGCACTAGCTAGAAGAAGCGGGGCCTTTCGGGTTCGGCCAGGGAGTGTGAGTTGCACGGCGGCAACCTCTCCTTGCAGCGGCAGCGGCGTCCGTCCCTCTGGTGATCCGCCAGGCGTCGCGTTGTCTTGGGGCGCTCGGCCCGTCCAGCCCGATGTGCGACTTGCTCGACTCGCAGCAGCCGGCCGAGAAACTTAGCAGAATGAAAAAGTTACGGCGAACTTTGTCGGAGAGTTTCGGCAGACTAGGTAAAGGGGGTGGGGGAGCTAAGGAGGGAGGGGGCGAGCTGGCATTCCTTAGCCCCGAGCCCCGTTCCAATTAACGCCTTGCTACTCAGTGGGCCAGTTTGCAAGCTGAATTGCCTTGGCTGACTTCTTTTTGAAATTTTGTCTGCTGCCAAGTACGTTCAAATCTGTGCTGGAGAGAGTGATGGGAGTTGTAGTCCAGCACCCTCTGGAGGCCGCCCAGCTTGGCTGAAGGTCTTTCCATCATAGCACTCCAGTGGCGCTGCCCCAATTTTCTGGCCGTCTTTTTGTGCATTGCAAAACTATTTTGAAAAATTGATTATTCTAATAAAAGTGTATCCATTTCAAACCGTTTTATCCAGAGGTCATCTTGCTGATTAAATTGAAGCGATTAACAGCTGTTGTGTCCCGAGAATTAGTATAAATGTGTTCATTTCTCTCTGACTAACCTTAAAAAAACTTTTAGCTGCTACTGGCTGTTGGTCATATTTAGCATAATATAAACTGTCTGTAATCTGCTTTTTAATACTTAAGTTGCTGATGTAGTGTGTACTCTCTCCTTATAATAATAATTGAAATTAGATTAATATTAATTTGTTATGAACAATTTTATTTTTTATTTATTTTATTTATTTGATTTGCCAATTGTTTACAAGATAATAAGTATAAGTGTATACATAGTTGTGAATACATGAAATGGGTACATATAAGAAAAATAAGAGAATAAGAGAAACAATAGGACAGGGACGGTAGGCACGTTGGTGCGCTTATGCACGCCCCCTACTAAATACTAAACAGGAGTAGAAAGTACTTTGAATTAATTGAAATTTGTTTTTTTAAAAATGGATTCAAATCCCTTCAAACTATTTTTGAGAAAAAGGTGTTCCCCCTCCCCCACCATGAATGAATGCTAAGAAAATATAAGGCATATAAAAAAGTATCTGAACCCTAGGACTGACTGCAACTTTCTAATGTATGTTTAGTGGCTTTCCCATTACATGTTCCAGATGACCCAATTATAATTTGTTTCATTCTTTTGTAATGCAAGATTGAAGTCAAAGGATTTCCTACAAAGGATATGGAAATAGAAAAAGTTAAATTTATCAAAGGGTATGGAAATAAAAAAATTAAATGTATCAAAAATAAATGAAGAATATTATAATAAAATTGTTACACCAGATGGATAGTTGTAAATTGTATTTAGAAAAAAGTGTTCTATTTCTTTAATGGAATCAGGGTGATTCTTTTCTGGAGTATCATTTATGAATGTTTGAGAGAAAGAACGCTCCAATTGCTTGCATACTTGAAATCATTCAGCATCCCTTCGGGCCAGAATGTACTTTCTAGATAGAATTAGTTCTCCCAGTTGTGAGATGGAACAAGTTACATGGGTAAACTAATAGTCTTTCAAAAAAGATAATCTAAAGCAGCAATGTGAGAACTGCATTTGAAAATGGGATTTAATTCCTGCACCATCATCAATAATAATGGTTTCTGTAACAAAAGGAATCTTCTTGGCTTTTAGGCAATACATACCTTGTTCAATAATAATAGTAGGCAAATGAAAATGCATCCATATGGCTTAGTGGTAATACAAAATTTGGAAGTCAAACTAATTTCCAACTATAGAAGCCTTCACTTGCTAATTAATTTGTGATTTAAGTTGTTTGGAATCTATAAAGTGCTGCTGATTTGCTACTTCACCAAAGGTATTGCATGTTGTCCACAGTATAAGAAGAAGCTCCCTGTGTGGATTGTACTCTTATTCCTTTGATAGCTAAATTAGCCACCAGAAGATGTTCAGAAATTTTCTTATCTCTGCTGGCCCAATGTTCCTTGTCATCTTTTGACACTTCTTGCTTTGTAAATATAGAAACACCTTTTGAATGACACAGCATAATGCATCCATACAGAGGTATATAAGATGTCATATTTACATTGGATATTCTACAACCATCTCATACATTATTTATGGATTTCTCTTTATTCATCTGAATATTAGAGTATACGTAGGAATATAGTATAAGCCATCTACAGTACTTGAAGCAAATTTCACTAGGATGCAAGTTGCACATCATTTAATGTTGTTTATTATATTTGTGCCCAGTTTTTCTTTAAGCAGCTCAAGGCAGGTAACACTTTTCCATTTTTTTTAAAAAAAGTTGGCAAATACAGTGCCAAATCTGCCTTTGAAGTATATGTTAAGCTATTTTCTGGTCAGAATAAGGGATGTGCATTTTAGGTAGATTATAGAAAGGGATATTGAAATTTGGAAAAATTCTAGTTGCTTCATTGAACTAAATAGTCTCTGTATATTTTTTCTGATTAATGTAAATTATATACAGAATTATCTGCTAGTTTTGTGACGTTTCCTTGAAGCAAATAATAAATTTTCAGCTGTGATGATATCAAGATCTAGGGAATCAAATAAATTTGACAATTTCAGATCAGCTCTTCCTAAATTGCTGCCTTAGATGGATCTATTAGACTGTATCTTTCAAAATTCTGGTAAACATGACCTTTGGGATCTCTGTGGGCCAACATTTTGGGGGCAATTGATGAAGCCTGTTTTAGATCAACTACTGAAAAGGAAATGAGTGAATGCCCTTACTGTATAGTGTTACTACCAATCCCATTACTCATAATTATTCTTAATTTAGTTTTTGGGTTGCTGAGGAAGTACAAAGCAATTTTTGCTTGAATTAAAACGACGAAAGAATATCAGAAGCTTCTTTCCTTTATAGAAAATTGCTTGTGACTCTGGATGCCTCAAGTGTAAAGACTTCTTTTTCACCTTGGCGCTTCTCCTACTACCATTTATCCAACCCAGATGTAGAACTGAATCTTTAGTGTAGATGTTAGGTGGCTCAAATGCAAAATAAAGGCATGATATCTGATGCCAATAATACCAATCCTGGAGATGATTTCTGAATAGCATTTTGGGCTAAGTCTCTGGTTGATACTAAGTACCTGATAGTACAGTAATGGTGTCCTTGCTAAAGAGCTGAAAATCAGCAAACCATTCAGATAAATAAAAAAGGGCCCATTAGTCCTGACCTGTTACTCCCATTTATAGTGTTTAATTGTTTTAATGTTTGAGCAAAGTGTTTTGCTTCAAGCAGTTTGTTGTAGACATTGCAGATTGCTGTAGGAATGCATTTCATTCATTAATTATAAGAACTTGAGCTCCCTTGGCCAAACCTTGTGGATCTGTATTTTATTTCACATACTGGCTAGCTGGACAGCTTGCCCTAAAAAACCCACTAATGGTGGCCTTCTCAAGTTATTGCCACCGGCAGTTGCTGTCTGTTGGCATTCTGCCTTAAACTCTGGGTGGTCTGTTTTTGACTCATACTTAATAGCCATTGATAGACTTCCTCCCTGAATCTGTTAATTTGCCATTGAAGCTAGGTGGGTACGACAATATCATATTGCAATTATTTCTATAAATGAATTATGCATAATGTGAAGTACTTTCTTCTGTCCGGTCACTTTCATTGAATGTGAAATACATTATTAGGAGGCAAAATCTATTATGCATAATTCTATTTAAAAATAAATAAAGTAACATTGTTTTCAAATCTAACAAGCCCTCTGTGCATCAGGCATTAAAAGTCCAAGCATATTATGAATGTTGTAAAGTTCTTCTGTTTGTCTGTTATAAGCTTGTTGATAGACAACTTCATTGAATGTCCCTTGAATTTCAGCATTCTGAAAAGTTTAGATTTTTTTTTAAAACAATGTCATTATATAATTAAACTTTTAAGTATATGACACATGTGACTGTCTGTATTTTTTACTTTAAGTGAGATCTATCTCCTTGATTTTTGTGAGTCAGAAAAGGGTTTTGCATTATTGTAATCATACTTTTCTATACTACTTCTATTGCCAGTATTTATTGCATCTACATTGAAGAAAGTATTCAGGATACCCCAAGGCTCTGTTTTAGGCCCAGTACTCTTCAACATCTTCATCAATGACTTGGACAAGGGGATAGATGGGGAACTCATCAAATTTGCAGACGACACCAAGCTGGCAGGAATAGCCAAGATAGGCTTAAGATATAGAAGGATCTTGACAGACTTGAACATTGGGCGCTATCTAACAAAATGAAATGCAATGGTGAAAAAAGTAAGGCTCTACATTTAGGCAAGAAAAACCAAATGCACAGGTACAGTATATGTGGTACCTTACTCAATAGTGGTGTCTGTGAGAGGGATCTTGGAGTCCTAGATTTAAATATGAGCCAGCAGTGTGCTGCAGCTGCCAAAAGAGCCAACACAGTTCTAGGCTGCATAAACAGGGATAGAATCAAAATCACGTGAAATGTTAATACCTTTTTATAATGCCTTGATAAGGCCACACTTGGAATACTGCATCCAATGATGTAAAAAAGATGTCAAGACTCTAAAAAGAGTGCAGAGAAGAACAGCAAAAATGATTAGGAGACTGGAAGCTAAAATTTATAAAGAATGGTTGCTGCAATTGGGTATGTCTAGTTTAATGAAAAGAAGGACTAGGGGTGACATATCAGTGTTCCAATATTTCAGGGGTGGCTACAAAGAAGACATAGTCAAGCTAATCTCCAAAGCCCCTGAATGCAGTACAAGATGCAATGGATGGAAACTAATCAAGGAGAGAAGCAACTTAAAATAAGAAGTTTCCTGACAGTTAGAACAATTAATCAGTGGAACAACTTGCCTCCAGAAGTTGTGAATGATTCAACACTGGAAGTTTTTAAAAAATATTGGACAACCATTTGTCTGAAATGGTATTGGGTGTCCTGCCTGAGCAGGGGTACTAGGTCTGTTTTTGTTTGGAGTGACAGACATACATATATTCTGTCTCTGATAATGTCAGCTTTAGCAGGTAGACTAGGTAGGAAACATGGCCAGATAAGCTAATTCTGCTTTATTGTAAAGCTATATTAAGAGCATCTTACAAGCCTCAAAGTACATTTATTCTTATATCACTTATACAGCCCAATAATTTAAGGAAGGCCCCTGCCGAGCCTTTAGCTCTGCCGATTCTGCAGCTGTGGCCTATGTTCCCCTTATCTGATTGTTCCCTAAAAAGCATCTCTGCTTTGTGTCTCAAGGTCATTGTCACATAGCATTTCAGATACATGGTAAATTACAGTACTATGGAATTTTATAACTTAAAATTATAGTTTTGTAAACTTTAATAATATTACTCGAGGGACAGCAAATCAGTGAGTTCTTAATTTTTTTATACAAGCTTTTCTTTCATTTAGAGCTAAAGCAACTTATTAAATGATTTAATTCAAAATTATTTATTAATCTCAGTCTTGAATTAGGTTTAAATAATGTTAGAACTTTAGAATAAAGGTTAGCCAGTATTTTAGAGCCTGGAGTCTCACAGCATCTGATGATGGACACCTGATGATGATGATACAAAGCAGCAAGGGCTACAGAGATAGGAACAAAAATTATATTAATCTGTATTTTGGACTGGGAAATTTCTGGAAATGATTTATAAATGATTTATCTTCTTGGCTACATTCCATGTACAAAACAATTTTTATACCATAGTATAGGTTTCTACATTCCCCTATGGTAGTAGGACAAAATTACAGGCAGTCCTTGAGTCGCAACAATTTGTCAGCTCTTCATTAAAAGTCCAGTTTTTCATTGAGGATTCCTCTTCATTCTTCAGATGAAACTTGATTCTGAGCACATACAAGGAGTAATAGGTAGGAAACTTGTTTATGTGTCTCATGGTGCTTTTATAGATACACCTCTTGCTGTACCAATGCCCATATTTTTTTTTGAAAGAAATGAATAGATGGAAAATGGAAAACTGATTTGTTACAAAACAATCACCATTGTCTAGCATCTTCTAATTCTCACATGAATCAGAAAGGCGGTGTCTTCAATGCTTTATTTGAACAGGTGACCTTTACTCAGGTAATGATAAGGATAAGCAGTAGTGCTAAAAAGCTATGATGCTAAAGAGAAGAGTGCATTTCCCTTCTATTATTGCCTTATGTGGTAGCCATCTGGTATGAGAACTCAGAATGTACTTTCAAAAGTGCACTTGCTCTCACTCACAGGATCTTTTTATTAATAAACAAGGCTCTGGTTTTATTTTCTGTCCCTTGAAACTTGATTATTATGGTGTGTTGTCCTGTCCAGTATCTATAAAAGCAAAAATAAAATAAAATGGTGTGGTGCATGGAGATATTATCTCCAGGAAAGCACAAATCTGTCAGATTTCAAGTCCACATATAACACTCCTTGCTTGAAAAAAGCTGCAGAGAACAATTTATTGGTTTGTATTGTATGTTGTTGTTTTCCAGCACTGTTGCAATTGTGATTAGATGGCCTGTTTATTTGCTCAGTACCTCTCCATTTATTCAGCAGTTTCAAGCAGCATATGTAGCACCTCTTCCTTTTTTCTATCTCATAACATTTGTTCTTAAAAATAGCATAAATCATAACTTAGATACATTAAGCATATTTCTTGTTTCACATATTGAACCAATAAATATAAACTTGAAGAGAGAGAGAGAGCATCACACATCTTTCTAAGTGAAGTAATTTTATTCAATTAAACAACTACAAAGAAATATTTGTTTGCTTCTTAGTATTTTGTACTAATAATGTAAACTAATTAGATAACGAATTATATCTTTTTTTCTAGCCTTGAAAAAAGATGATAACGGCTTTGATGAGGTAAGTTGTATTTTCTAGTTCAAATTTTATTTAAAAATAGATTTGGCAAAATATTATAAATTAAAAAGATGAATTAAAAAGAATAATAGTGACTAAAATAAATTATTACAACACACACACACATACACAAGCTATGAAAAAAACTACATAAAACAAATTTAATTTAATTTGATATAATTATATTTCTAATTGTAAGGAGAAATTCTCATTTTGTGCACCCTTATTGAACACTTCTAATTCAAAAAGGTATATGTATAGATGGAGTAATATAAGTTATTATGCTGATTTAATCTATAAAAGGGTACCAGATATAGAAATAAAAAATATTTGTTGCTGTTTTCATTTTCTTAGCTATCTCTTTTGCACACTTTTAAATATCACTAATATGAAGAAAGATGTACTTTAATTCTTCCAGTTTACTGCTATATTATTTATATAGCAGTATAAATTTATAGAAAGAAAACAACATATTTTTATATTGTACTATTTTATGTTTTTTCCAAGATTATAGCTGCATTATAATTATTTAATAAACACTGTTAGTAATTTTACCAATGTCTTCAAAAATTCCTAGCCAAAATGAGTAACAAAGGGATTAATGACAGTTTTTTGTAGGAATATGAAATAAAGGACCTCTTTCAGTAAACGCTGTAATACACTTTTAAGCAGATGTATTTTTATAGTGGATGATTTCTAAAATAGATTTAAATAATATTTTACATTACCGAATATTTTGTATTGACTCATCAAATTTCAAATGCCAAGTCATTTCCTGTTCTTTTAAACATTTTCAAGAAAGTCTGTTCTATTTAATATAAGAATTTCTAAGGTATTGATAAGATTATTCCGATTTAAAGTGTTTTAGAAATCCATTATACTTCATACATTGTTAATACCTTGATATATAAAATCTTGTGAGTTGAAAAGGAAATTACTGAATATGGTTTCATAAAACCACATTGGAACATGTTACCAATTTTTCTGCAGAAGATATTCAACAGAAATCCTCTTTTAAAAAGGGATCAAAAGGCATGAATAATTAGTACACCAGTTAGGTTGCAGCATAGAAGATTTATTTGAGCCTATACACAAGAATCTGATCAGCTAAAATTTAACACTAAATTTCCGCCAGATAAAGGTCAATTATATTCAGGAGGAGTTGGATCTAGAGTGCTTGTGGGATCTCAGTGGCTCTAAACTGATAATGCACTTTATTTTATTTTATTTATTTATTTGTTTGCCAAACATGTACAAGATAACAAGTATGAACATAAACAGGGAGTAAATATGGATAAATGGTGACAGTAAGACAGAGATGGTAGGTAATTTCCCACTTCTGCTTGTTCTTTTTCCACAGGAATCATATTTTTCCATATGTTTAAAATTTAGATGGCCTACGAATAAAATAATTTTTGGAAAGTTTCTTCAAAACTTTAAAGTAACTTTAACATATGCATTTGTGATACAGGATATTAATTTATTTCAGAAAATTGAAGTATTGTCCTAAAACATTGTGCGTCTCGAGTTAATTAATGTGAGTTTTTTTTAACTTAAAAGTAGGCAACTGCATAATTTATAGTTCTGAAATGGAATGTGCTGAAGGATTCTAGTATGCACCATTCCTTATTGGCTTCTTTCTGACCTAGCTATTCCAGAAATAATTCTTAAATTTTCTGGAAGTTAGTTTTCTGAACCAGAAATGTTTCTTGTTCTAGATCAGTGGTAGTCAACTTGGTCCCTACCGCCCATTAGTGGGTGTTCCAGCTTTCATGGTGGGCGGTAGGGGTTTTGTCCCTTACTTTATAAATCACCATTACTGTGGAACCGGTGGGTGGTTAGAGAAAATTTTACTACTAACAGAGATACAAAAGTGGGCGGTAGGTATAAAAAGGTTGACTACCCCTGTTCTAGATGAAAGAGGGACTGAATTGACTTTTGTTTTTACATATTCCTACTGAATGTTTTTCAGTTTACATATACTTAACTGAAAATTGTCATCATATCCACAACAAATCTCAATGAGAGTTCTATTTATATAATTTGTCTGATCCTGAATTTTTTAAAATAATCCCATACCTATAAAGGAAAAAATGGATTCCTTGTTATGTATGGAAGCAAGTAATAGATTAGAAGAAGTTGAAACAAATAAAATTTATATAGAATCTGTATAGTGATGAAGATAAAAACAGATTATGTTTTTCAATTAATAAACATAATAATATCTAGTGAGATTCTATTGTATAATGCCTAAAATTGAGTCATTTACCTCTTTGCCTTAATTTATTACTAGATTCCAAATGAAGACTTAGTCCTATCGTTTAGATAGGCTGTTGTCTTCAGTAGCAACTTTAATTCCATCTATTTTAAGACTATGTTTTGATCTGTTCTCTGAAAATTGAGAAGCAAATCGGTACCGTTAATGTGAATTGGAACTTAAAAGGAAATGGAATATGGCACTCCGGAAATCAGGTTGTCTGGAGTGATGAATTCAATGAGTTTGTCTTTATACTGAATTTGTAAAAGTACAGAAATTACGTCAAAGTATAAGCTGTGTAATTGTTTCATTAAAAGTCTGAGTCATAAATTCTGCAACCAGACCTTTTAATTGTATTATAAATCTGGCATGCTTCTAATGCTTTGTTTCTTCCTTCTGGAAGTGACTAGACTGTTTATAAAATTTACAGGATGTTAAGAGTTCCTTAGAATTCTCTGATATAGAAAGAAAATATTAAACTGTACTTTAAGTGCTTGTCCCAAATTAAATCTCCAGTAAAGATAACACTTTTTCCGTGCTTGGAATAGATTAATGGATGCTTCTTTAGCCTTGTCTCCTGCAAAACATATACTATTATCAATTGTATAAACATAGAGAGTGTTTTTTCCTTGCAGTGTAAGAATCTGGTAACTTTCTAATTTATCTACTAAGTGGCTATAGCTAGAAAAAGAGAATGATTTGAATTTGCTTATGTTCTGCATAATATTTATATACAAATAATCATTATGACTATATATACAAGTAACTTATGACTTCAGTGAAGCACAGAATTTTTGTTGCTAAATTTTTAAGTAAGTTGTGCCCCATTTTATTTTTTGTCACAACTGTTAAGTGAATCACTGCAGTTGTTAAGTGAATAATGTGGCTATTAAGTGAATCTGGTTTTGCCCATTGGCTTTGCTTGTTGGAAGCCAGATAGGAAGGCTACATATGGTGACCTTGGGATAGTGCAACTATCATAAATAAATGTCAGATGTATAGTGCCTGAATTTTGATTACATGACCATGGTATGCAGCAACTATTGTAAGTGTGAAAACCCATCACCCTTCGTTGTTTTTTTCAATATCATGTAACTTCGAACAGTCACTAAATGAATGGTTGTAAGTAGAAAACTACACGTATAGCCATTTTACTAGTACTTTTTTGCCTGGGCAATACTGATTACCCCCAGAAAAAATTAAACAAAAATAACAGGTAAGGGAGAAAAATATACACTGATCCATATATTGTTTTTCTCATCTAAACTTCTCAGCTTCCTTTTCTTGGGATTTTATCAGCTCCATTCAAACATAATTTTATCGATCTTCTTCCCTACTGTTCACTCTTCCTTCATATATTTTGCAATTCCATATTCATCCTGTTTATCTTTAGGACCAAAATGTTTTTATATGTCATTTACTTTGGGGTAAAATTCACACAAATGTATGCAAATTAAAAATATTTAATATTCCACTGAAGAGTCTCTGAAACTTTCTATCTTCCCCGTTTTGCAAAGTGTGGAGGAAATGGTGGCAAAAAGAGCAATAGTTTTCAGAGTAAGTTCATTGTATAAGTACACTACAATATATAACTTTCATTTATTAATGTTATTTAGTCAGTGATACCCGGGGTTGGGATTCTACCGGTTTGGACCAGTTCGGGAGAACTGGTAATTCTGGTGATCATTTGGCCCTGCCCACCCACCCCTGCTCTTTTCCTGTGCTTTATTTCCTTGTTTTGAGCACAGCTGATTCGCATGGCAGAGCAGTTTGCCATGCATCAGCTGTTTTACTCATCGGGGATGCAGCAGAAGGTAAGTATTATAGCTAAAAATTGTATTTTCTAAATGCTGTGCATGCGGGCAAAGTATGCCCTCACTATTATTACACCGGTTGAATCGCACCACTGGTGATACCCCACCCTTTTGAAAAATGAAATGGGTTTAGAACATTTTCTGTATTTAATGCCTGCTCTCATATGTCCCATGAAAGCAGTGAACACCTGGGGAATGGGTTATTGTACAGATTATTTCTAACCTTTTGTAAATTTTATGTATCTATTAAACTTTGAAGTATAGTTCTGAACCCTCACAGATTATTTTGCTGACATTCAGGAGGCGTATTGGACAACATGTAGAATTTAAATATTCTATGTTCTCAAAACACTTCTTGTTAATTTAATGGGATTGTTAGGTATTTTGACTGTGCACTGTAAAATAAGGGAGGGCCTCATATATTTCTGGGGATCATTAATTCTATATTTGTCTCATAATTGGCAAAGCAAGCAGGACTTTTTTTTTCTAGGCATAGAGATTCATGAATTGTCCTGGAATGCTAGGAATCATTTGATGGGTGAATATAAATTATTCTTCCTTCTGTTGCTTTATTTACAGCTCAAGTTTATTTTGCTTTGTCTTTAAAGTTAATGCTAGGGGAACTTATTGCCAAAGGCTGGCTGGGTACTGCAACAGATAAAATAGTTGGGCTCTGATCCTTTCAGTAAAAACAAGATGGGCATCAATCAACTTTGTTCGCCATTTCTGTGCTTTATATAACAAGCTATTGATTTTTACACATGAGCAGGGCTTCAATGGTAAAAAAAAAAAAAAAAAAAGGAAAAGAGAAAAGAGAAAAAAAAGAGGTCAAACTTCTGTATTTCTGTACCAGGATGATGGTTTGAGGCTGAACCAGGAAACTGAAAAAAGACTGGGTAAGAGTGGAACTGCCAGCATATAAAGGGATCTAC